AAGAAGCTTTGCGGCAGCTCTGGAGACAAACTGACCAGGGAGTTCGTTCGTGAAAATTAGAAGGAGCCGTCGCTTAATAGCTAAAGTCTGATTCAATTGGAACGAGGTGTGTAAAAACAGTCGCATCGCCAGCTTCAAACGACAGCGTTTTAGTAGAATTTGCGGGGATTTAGCAGAGATTTATGGGATTCCTGCGACAGTAATGACGACTGATAGGAGGTGAGCATTAACTAAGTTATGTTTTGATTTTTTTTATTGATTTTGTAGAATAATAATAATATAACAATAATTTGTTATTATTAATATTATTATTAATTCAAAACCGTAGCAACGAGTCATTCATTCAAAAATCACATTGTTTCACATGATGGCTAAGTTTGTTTTGCGATCGGCCGTCCTTTGGACAATGTTGCGCATCATTTTCTTTGATTTGAGCGTCGTTGCCTCGAGACCCGCATCAATCTAACCGCATGATTTAAATTGAACAAATTGACAGTCAATTTTTAAGTACTGATAACATTCTGAATGCAACGACAAAGTCTATTTTACGATCAAACGTCGTTTAAGTGGCTTTGCACGACAATATTCTCGATTTCGGCATCGTCGTCTTCGGACTCATGTCGGTTCGCCGAGAAATCCCAATTTAACAAATAAATGTAGTTTTTGGGGGTCAACAATGTTTCGGACGCAGCGGCGATGTCCATTCTATGATCAGAAGTCGTTTGGGAAACGTTGCGCATCAATTTTGGGTGTGAGTTGACCCTTTGGACTGCTTTCTTCCGATTTTAGTGCGTGGGGTGTCCACTTAGGCAAACTCAACGTCCTGATTGGAACAGCACAGTCCGTTTGGCTATCGGATGTCGTTTGACCCTTCAAGTGGTACATTGTGTCGACAAGCATTGCTTGATTCGCTAGCTTTGCTTGCTTAGTGCGTGGTTTGATGTATAAGGGTCAACACATAAAGTAAAATAAAATAAACAATCTCATGCAGTAATAGAATTATAAGTGCAAAAATAGAATATGTGCCCTGAATAACATTTTGATGCAGCGTAAGGTTCAAATTTTTAGTACAACATATAATAAATCATGTGGATACTATGGAGTTTGGACTTTCCTTTCTTATTTGAATTGATTGCCAACTCTTCACATGAAAAGAGCATCCCAAGAGTATTAAGATCAAACACAACACCCAACAGGCAAGCTTTCAAGTGTGTCATGATCAATACAAATTAAAACGTCTTAACGTCTTCAAATCTGGCTTGGACAAAAGCATGACCAAATTTCTAGTTTCAAATTAAAGTTTGGCCAGCCCTCTTCCACAATCCAAGGAACAAGTGCATGTTTAAAAACTTCTTCCACAAAATACAATACAGGCTAACATCTCCACAAAATATGGAGTTGCTTTGACCACTCCGGCTTAAGAGGTCAGAGCCCCTCCTTTAAAATGAATTAAACTGTTGTATTATTTTTATTTCTAGCATATGTCATGTAAATCTTTGTTTATGGGATGGCTTGGATACTTCTCCTGCATATATATCGTTATCATGAATGGAATAATAGCTTAAATTAGTTCTGACTGCAATTGGTGTCTTTCATTCTTGTTGATTGAATGACAGCTTTGCTTTGAGTAATTATTTTAAAAATCTAAATTTAAAATAAAAAATTACAAATTCACCCTCCCTCTTAGTTGTATCATACACTTAAAAAAAATCTTTTGTGGCATTATTAAATGCCATTTCATAGTCTATCTGGATAGTTATCATGCATTTATACTTAAAAGAAAAACATTAACACAACATATAAATGAATACCTAAAGTTAGATCGACATATGACAATGCTCTTGCATCCATATCATCTAGTGAACCCAAAATGATTTGGGTGGTTCCTACTATAGAAACTAATACATTTCTATAGGTATGACTTCACAATACAACCATTAAGAGCATATGATACCTAAACAATTAGTGCTCAAAGCACATGACTGGCAACATATTAAAATTTATAACACATGAATCCAAAAAAATATGAAAAAATAACACTTGGTGACAAGGCCACAAAATAGGAGGTAGATATTGGAAACATTGATAAGAGAAATAATTTCACAATTGAAAGGATCCTATTAGTTGATTGCTACGACATAACATACTAAATATTAGCCGACAATACAATAAAAGTTTTGATATTGAATTTCAATCTAATATATGTCTATAAAATTAAATAGCAAAGATATTATAAAAGGACAAAAGATAAATATATTTGCATCGATAACTGCATCGAAATCAAACTGATAAGAATTGATCTTTGATGCAATCCCCCAGCAATACTAGAAAGTTGCCCATTTTTCCAAAGCCTTCATCTATTGTTCACTCGACAAATGCTACAACATCTCGTTTGAAGAGACACAGACAACTAGCTCCCTCATAGCAGAAAACCTCTTTCCTAGCAATACAAACCTTCAATAATCAAACTTGTCTTTTTGGGCATACCTTCCACGGGAAGCAGTTCCTACAAACTCATCACTACGGGCGATCTCCCTAATACCCACTAATGTTGGTCACCAAAATACCACTCACCTTCTCAACCTGGTCAGTAATGGTTCGTCATCCTCATCTTCCACTATGAACACCTACATGGGGAAAACAAGGACAACATGGACAGCTAGCTCTCACTGACAGTCACAATAGTTGGGTTCTTTGCACCCAACTTCAGTTCTAACTTTCTTTGTAAGGGGGCAAGGCGACGAGTTTCGCAGGCTCAGCCAGATGTCGAGCCTCCTCCTTATCAACCTCCTTGCCTTAAGAGGCTGTCATAGAGTCGATAGCTTTATGTTGAGATGGGTCAGTTCACCATTGGCAAAATGCTATCATTCTGAAGGCTTTGCTGCAGAAGTGAGCCGCAAAGATAAGGTCTATTCTCTCAAAGCACTCGCCAGTTATCTAGTTACAAAGGGCGGGAAAATAAACTTCCTACAACGCTAGCTTCAAATTTATAGAGAGGTCACAATATGATGACACAACATCAACGTCACAAAGTATGGTCAAATAAATCCATGAGCTACAATAAAAATAGGACAGTAAATTCACGTTTATTTATCTGTTTTATGTTAGATAGTTGCATTTAATATCATTCACTAGTCATTTTCTCAAGGCCGAGTTAATCATGGAAGTAAATGTATACCCATGATCACCTCCTATGGTGTTTTGACATGTGACCGGGTCATCCTCTAAGGAGTAGATCCCTCAAAGGACTTGCCCGGGGCCAGAGAGGAACACGCATAAGGATACTGACAGGCATCACTCGCCCACATCCGACAAGGAACACGCCTTTGCTAGACAACTAGAAAGTTTCACATCCAACAGATAGATCACCACTCATCTCAATCACATCCTCCCGGCTCACCATACTTAGCTATAAGAAAGCATCTAACTTAAAGACCTCAAGCTAAACTTACTTACTATTGCCAGGCTTAGTAATCGTTCATCCCTGCAAAAACTTCAACTCGCTATTCATGATAAGGTGGCCTCAAGCCTCTTATGACAATCATCGACCCAACAAGAAAAATTCGCCAGCTACGAGTCTATCCTTTCCAGACTCGTTCATAGACTCACCCTACGCCTACTAACCCCCCCCCCCCCCCCCCCCCCCCCCCCCCCCCCCCCCCGAGCTCACCTGATGACAAACAGCCCACCTAACCACAAACTTTAGCCTCCTACAACCAATCACGAGGCAACACATGTCCTAGATTAGCAATAAAGCATTATACGAGTATTATGCATAGCCTATATTTTATTTTACTATGTATAGTTTTTCTTGTAATCTTCAAAATCCTATAAATAAGATGTGATGAGGAATAATTTGGGACCTCTTTTAGGCTTTTTTTCTTGATTTTATTCGCACATCTGGCTAAAAATTTAGGATCTCCGACCTTGTCCCTGTATTTTTTTATTGAGATAGCAGATATTATATTAGTCTACTCTTCCTCTCTTTATTTTCTCTACTCACTCTATTCTCCATCCTCACTAGCGAGTTCTCAGCTCACTAAATCGATCTACTAGTAAAATTGGGCATCATCGATCGGACAAATTTGGATTCAATTGTTACTTTTCTACATTATCTTTTATTCTACACTACTCTGTCTCTCATTTATTAAAATGTCCTCTTTAAATAATTACAAAACTTGAATCAAAACAAAAAACAAATATTATTTGATTTCAAAATCTAAACAGGAACCCAAATCAAATTTAATTTAAAACAAAATAAAATCAATTTGAAATGACACTGAAGTATTCAAGCAAAATAAAAATCCTTTAAGGACCAAACATATAATTTAATATTAGTTAAAAACATATGCATACTCTTCTTGTTCTGGCAATTTTTAGTTGCCACAAGTTGTAAGTCACAATTATCAAACTAAAAATGTTTTAGCCTAACCAACATTGCTCAAAAAGATTTTGATATCATGATTTTAAAATGATTAGGTGACTTTTGCTGACATTCCTTTCAAGTAGGATTTAAAGTATAGCTGAGCCAGGAAGGATTGTAAGACTTTCGCGTCATGATTTTAAATCCAATTGTCTTTCAAAACTATGCTACAGCCAATTCGTGCTCCACACAACTACCCTTGTAACTACACGTTTAATCATCTTTAATGTATTGTTTTACTAACATCCACCAATAATATAAAAGAGAATGGACTATGTATTCTAATGAAAGCTCAATATGTGGGCTACACCCATGAATTTTTGACATGAAAATTTTTACTAAATGTGCGCCAAAATACTTATCATACGTTTGTAAATAATCAAGTTAAGTATGTAATTGCCCCAAAATTAAATAACTGAGGCTATCTTAATTTCCTCATATCAGCAAGCGGTAACTCCTCGGGCAAATAACAATTAGAATGACATCTAACATTCTATTCAGAAATCCTATCGAACCGATTGTTATGCACAAGATAAAGGCAGTAACAATTTTTCAACAGTAGCCGAAAGATTCATACCTGTTTAAGAGCAAGCATGGCAAGCGCGGACAACCCATAGCCCCCAATGCCAACGAAATGAACCCAACCTTTCTTCTCCTCCGCACATCTGGAAACAGCCACGACATCTTGGGCATTTTCAGTCACAGCTGGGCCTCCTACATAGGCGCAGCAAGTAAAAGAAGCGTTCTTCATTCTTCTGCAAAGTATGGGAACTCCACGCACAGCACTGGAACATCTCACCTGCCATCGGTGACACACCGCCAACGAGCGACTGTCCATGTTGGCGAAGAGAAGAGCACGAGAAGCCATTGCCGGAGCCCTAGAGAAATCGAAACATAAATATGAAGTTAAATAAAATGGTGATAAATGCTCGTACGGATTCAACGTGAAAAATGTTGAAGGCCTCCTGCGCCTTCTTAGCATTTTTATAATTTTAGGAATGCTAACAACTAGGAGCCATGGCTCACTGCCTTAGCCTGCGATTTCGTCTCCGTCCATTTCTCGCACCCACACAAGTTTAGGAGCTATTATTCTGTGCGCATTATTCCGGACGTGGAGATGCATTAGTAGGCTGCTAAAATTGTAACAGATGGTATGCCTATGTGCAAAATAATTTTATGATTTTTTTTAGTGAAATTTTGATGTGGCTTCAACATGTAAATCCCTACCATCTTCATTTGAAATTTGTACTATTCAAATTAGGTTGCCGCTTTTTTTTTTTTTTTTTTTTTTTTTTCGGGTTTTTTTTTTTTTTTTTTTGAGATTTCATCTGCGAAGCTCCTCATTATATAAGATTTAGCGAAAATTTCGGGCAAGCTCAGGAGTTAAGAAAGAATAGAAGAAATGCTGATGAAAATGAAGATTGATCTTGATGAGGACATTTCTTTTTACGACCATACGATATTCTCAGAGGACGCGACGGCCGAAAACAAACATGAAGACGTTGAAGAAGCAAAACAAATAAAAGAAGAAATGCAGCCATAGGAAAAGATAAATTTATGAAATCTAGTATTCAACTTATCGGTAAAGTTTCAAATCCTCTAAGTTTTCTTTGAAGCAAGCATATTTGTCCACTCAACATGTTTTGCATGTAAATTTACTGAGTTATTTATGCCTATATACTTTATTATTGAAATACAATGAAAATTGGTGAAAGAATGTTGAAAAACCGGAATGAGTATTATATGTTTTATGTACTGCATATTTTATGCGTATGTTGTGAGTATTTCGTGCGTATATACTGCATGTGTTGTGCGTATTCTATGTGTATATACTGCATATGTTGTGTGTAACTTGTGCGTACATACTGCGTATTTTATGCAAATCGTGTGTGTATCTACTGCATAGTTTATGTGTATGATGTGCTTTTTGTTACTAATTTACTTATAATTTATCGTGATGTTTATGAGAATGAGAAAGAGGCATACGAGGCTTACTGTAATCATTCCCATAATATTGATTTTAGTATTCGTAAGGATCATTATAGTTATTGGCCAAAATCTAGAAAAAATAAATCCTATGACTTTGTTTGTTCCAAAGCTGGTTTCAAGAAGATGTCTGATCTTAATTTCCAATTAAAATATCGTAGATCAGACACTAAAACAGGTTGTCCAGCAATGATTTGATTTACAGTGGATGAAGCTGGATATTGGAAGGTGAAAAAATTCATTGAACCCCACAATCATGATTTGTCCAGGCCAGAAGACCGGCATCTTCTTAGATCATACCGGAATGTGTGTGATGTTAAAACTTTAGTTCTTAAATCAATGATAAAAGCCGGTATAAAATCTATTGATTCATATACCTACCTTGTTAATGAAGTTAGAGGTGTCCAAAACCATGGATTCTTTAAGAGGGATGTGTACAGCTTTATTCAAAAAGAGAAAAGAGCAAAGATTGAATTTGGGGATACTAATTCTTTGATTAAGTTATTTAAAGATCGTCAAGTTGATGATAATATGTTCACTTGGGATATTCAAATTGATGAATTTGATAGATTGTTAAATTTTTTTTGGGTTGATGACATTGGTCGGATCGATTATGATTGCTTTGATGATGTGGTAATTTTTTATATTACTTATAGACTTAATAAGTATAATTTGGTATGTGCACCATTTGTCGGGGTCAATAATCATTAGCAAAATATTTTTTTCTTGGGGTGGCCTTCTTGTTAGAAGAGACTATTGAATCATTCACGTGGCTGTTTACAACTTTTTTACGCATAATGGGTGATAAACATCCCAAAATATTTTTTACGGGTCAAGACTAGGCAATGACAAGGGCCATAAAAGTTGCATTACCTAACACTCGTCATAGATTATGCCAATGGCATATCCATAAAAAAGCACCATCAAAAGTGTCTTGCTTCAATAGTAACAACACAGTCAAAGGCCTCTTCCATAAGTGTTTCAGCAAATGTGACTCCGAGGAGGAGTTTGAGAAAACATAGTCTCAAATGATTGCATAAGAGAACCTTCACAATCATGGGTGGTTGGAGGATTTTTATAAGATAAGGAATAAATGGTCTACTGCATTTAATAATGATTGTTTTAATATGAGCATACTATCCACACAATGTAATAAGTCTACTAATAATGTTTGTCATGACATTTTTAAGCCCACAAGTTCTATAACTGATTATTTGTTGGGCTTCGATAAGGTGATGAGGAATTAGCATAGGAAAGAATAGGATGAGGATTACAAATGTAACCAATCCGAAATAGAACCTGTAGTAAAAAGCTATCCAATATTAAAACAAGCTGCTCATATTTATTCAAGAAAACTATATTCATTTTTTTAAGAAGAATATTTATAGGATGTATGTAATGAGCATATAATTTGTGTCCTGTGATTTTTCAAAGTTTTTTATTTATTGCACAGAGAAAAAGAATCATTCTAATCCTTAGGTTATTTATTTTGATACATAAGATGGAAGCATTCAATGCACCTACAGGAAGTTTAAAATGATGGGTTTATTGTGTTCTCACTGCATGAAAGTTTTTAGGCAGATTGATATTATGAACGTCCCTGATAAGTACCTACTATTGCGATGGTTAGCAAGAGCTCGAAATGATATATATTATGGCTAACTAATGAAAGGATATGCTCAAAATAATTATGAAGCTAGTAGTGGATTTATATTTAGAAACCATATCAGTAGATTTGTGTATCAAATTAGCACACAAGATAAGCTGAATGAGGAGGCTGAACAATATATGTTGGCCGCAATGAAGGTTATTGTTGCAATCTATGACCCCTACTCTGAGATTTTTATAATGAGAAATAATGTTGATTAAATTATTATTCATTAAATATCTTTGGTTTTTGCTCTTGTTTGTGAGTACTAACATTTCAGGGAGATCACAAGTTACTCAAGACTTCAAGAAGACTCAAGACTGAGTAGAGTAGGAGTTTGAGTTTATAACATTATAATTTTTTATTTATTTATTATTATTATTATTTTTCTTGAGTATGACCACAAATTGTATGCAAGACTGAGCAACCATACCCATACACACAAGGGGATAGGGTTTTAAAAATAAAGGAATTTTTTTCTTTGTTGATTGTACTGTACGAGTTTTAATCGTACTATACGATCTGATCTGGCTCAAATTAACTTCTATCTGTAAACAAGTCATACTGTACAACTTATCTCGTACTATACAATGTATTTCTAATTAAAAACCCTAGCCAACAGATTAATTTAAGTAAGTTCTTAATTCATAAAATTTTGAACTGATCATACTATACAATACTATCATACTTTACAATAATTTTTGAATACTTACTTAAATAAACCAATGATTAGTATGTAAATCAAGGATTAATTTATGATTAGTTATCGTACTGTATGATATAGTTTGTACTGTACGATCAACCGAGGCTATTTTTGGTCATCCCAGACATTGTACTGGATGATCCCTTGATTTTGAACTAATCGTATTGTACGACGTGTTTTGTAATATATGATGTGTAGAGACAAGTTTTCATCATCCCAGTAATTATCCTACATGAACAGAAGGATTTTATAGATCGTATTATATGAGTTTATATCATACGATACAATATTATTCAAAAATTTTGCCTGTTCATAATCCTTCGTACCAGGACGAAGGTTGTTTTGTACTTATCATACTGTATCATATTGGATCGTACTGTATGATCATAACGGCTAAATTAAAATTTTTAGGGTTTCTTGGAGCCTATTTTAAATATTAAAACTTCTACTTTATATATATAAAGAGAGAGAGAGAGAGATAGAGAGAGGGAGAGAGAGAGGAATGTGATTAGAGGGGGATTCCTTGGGAGAGAGCTCTTAAGAAGATTTTGGGGTTGTTAGAGGAAGGAGAAGGTGGGCTTTGTGAGGGAGGAGTGTGAGGGAGATCACACAGTTTCTCCTAATTTGTTGCAAGTTGCTCCTCTTGTGACTCGAGAAGATCTTGTAGGAGGCTCTCTAAGGGGTAGATTCTTCTACATATGTGTCCTCTAAAGTACTTTGCCTTCTCCAGGAGGGAAAAAATGACAAGGTATGCTTCCATCACTAGGAGGGTGACAAAGCGCTTGACACTCCGCCACGTCGGGTTGGTGAAAGTGAGGTTTATAAAGGCTTCTCCGCCTTGCAGGGGAGGCAAAAGGAGAATTACTATTTAGTAGTGAATTTCATAAAGTGGAGGACTCCGGGGAGTGGACGTTGGTCAAGTGACCGAACCACTATAAATTCTCTGGTGTGATTTTTTCCTTACTGCATTTTATTTACATTTTGCATTTTATTTTCATTAAAATTGCTTGGTGAAAATCAATGTTGAGCAAGTTAATTTTTAACTACCTATTGTTGCAAATTGTGTTTTAAGCATTCAGCATTGTATTAATTAGTTTTCTTGTTTAAAATTTAAAAATACAAAAAAAACTTAGAACTCCTATTTAGATTTGTCTTTCTATTGCAACAAATTTTCAATTTACCTCCATCTTAGTGCATATCGTAATTTCAATTGGTATCAGAGAGGAGTTTCAAAAATAGTGATTTATAAAACCTTAAAAAATTGATCATGTCTCATTTTGATAATCGTAATACTACAAAGGATTATTCAATAACTCGTCCAACTCTATTTGTTAATATCCCATTTGGTTTCAAGAAAATTTGAATGTCTTCTTTTTTTATAGTCTATAGATTATCGTATATAGATATTGGTTCAAGAATGTTACATCGCACCGTTTAAACTTGTGAATGGCAGTAAAACACAAGTACTTTTAATGAATGGAGCAATGAGGATAGGCATTTGGCGTAATTAAATGCTAAGTGCTTAAACTGTTTCATTTGTGCATTAAAATCTGAGGACTACATGAGAGTATTTACATGTGCTACTAGTAAGGAGATTTCAGATAGATTGTATATCACGTACGAAGGAACTAGTGAGGTTAAATAGTCTATACTTAATATTCTATTGCATGATTATGAACTTTTCTAAATGAAACCTAACGAA